TATCTACAGGATGCCGTTTGCCCTACGAAGACTTGCGTTGTGTTGGCATGGCCCATACCTATCATACAAACCATCGGGCACCCCAATCGGACTAGGGGGTCCCACCCACGGGGGCTCAGTGGCTCAAAGGGCGGTGAAGAAGATTCGCCAGACCTGCTCCACAGGCCAAACCCTCTACAGGACTCTGTACAAATCCGCGCACCCCGCATTGATGCGATGGTCAATCGTTGTGAGGATTTATCCACCACTAACGCTTGTACTTTCCTGGCTTGCCTAATAGCCGTGGGTCGTGGGAGCACAACGGTGTTGCTTACGGGGTGATACGTGTATGTTGCGTGTTATGACGTACCATGAAATACGTAGCGCATGCATTCTCCGTTTTCCGGGTATTTTTTTACGGAAATCTGATGTCATTTGCCACAGACACCCATCTCGTAACACATGTTTACGACACCACACAAAAATGCTTCCAACCAACATTCTCTGCGTTCATACGTCTCTCAGCTGTCATGCAAGCTCGTTCGTGTCATAGTTGCCTGTGTTCGACACCGAAAAATATCTTTGCGAAAAACACCCCTAACACGCACGAAAACAATTGAGCTGTGCTCTCAGGCCCCCGACTGTCGCACAAGCCGGAAAATGGCCGAAACCAACATGTGGGTGCCGACATACGCTCAACAATGCGGCCGAAGCACCATCTCGGCGGTGTCGTAAGTTAGGCATTTGACGACACCGCGCGAACTTCCGAGAACACTTCAAATCGGCACAAAACCAACTTTGTCGTGTCCCCACCGCGCGAACTTCCGAGAACACTTCCAATCGGCACAAAACCAACTTTGTCGTGTCCCCACGGTCGCCGGCTGTCGCGCAAGTCGTCATTTGGCCGAAGCCAACATGCGGTTGCCGCTATGCATGTAGGCCTACATGCTACCTTCCTTAAGACGGCCAACGAGGGTGCAGGGTGGATCGGTTACATATTCTACAGAGAAGACTCCATCGCTGCATACAAACGAACCGCAAACCAGACCACGTTGGCCAGCAGTTTCGTCAGCACTTTGGCCGGCGCGCAGCACCCAGAGGTCCATAGGCGTTCGTTGTGGAACGGCCCCGACTGACAAGACGGAAGCGTAAACCTGGGTGGAGGAAGGAGTGGGGAGCGCAAGCAAGGGCACACGTGTTTCGGGCACCAGGAGCAACTTGTCGAGGAAACCGACATGCATTTGAAACGCAACTCTGCGTGTTCAGTACATAGTACGACACGATCGTCGAATTGGGAGTAAAATTTTGCCAAACTATTGTGACATCCCAAAGGAAAATGGTATGGGTCGTTGATGAAATTGAGCTCCATGGACACACGGTCTTCACACGAAGTTCACTCATTCGTTCTTGCCCAAGCCATTCATTGACAGGGCTTTCGGATTCCCAACTTCCGATGTGAAACCGAAACCGGTCTCCTTTACAACATGCTGTTTCACTGTCGTAGCCCTACGTGAGAACTTCACACGTTCATTCTTGTCATGACATTCATTCATATCGAGAGCTATCTGTACCCAAAGCCGAGTCCTGACTCCGAGACGCATATTCTTCTGGTATAATCGAATCAGAAGCATGGCATCGCAGGGCGTGAGTGCAGTTTCCTATGCCCATGCCATGTTTGGACGGTCATTCCGGCTATATACCAAGGAAACTAGACTGAGCGACTTACACGTACTTGAACCTTGCAGCATGATGTACATGAGCAGTGTTTCGCTGTTAAGGTTTCGCGTTGGTTTTTCACGAAATGAATAGAGGTGGGGAATACACGTGGTGCACTGCCTTAAATCAGTTTTGGTCAGGTCCATAGACTACAGGTTTTGAAGGATTGGGCGATGCTTCAAAACAAGATACAGAGGGAAATATGGCATCGACATCATATTCATATTCCAGGGGCCAAGGGAGTGTGAAGGTGTCCGTTGTCGTACTGGCGCATGTTACAGACTGTTACCATTAACAATCATTTCGGTGCTACCAAGAGTGATTTCGGTACCACGAACTCACATTGTTGGTCCTACCCATTCGACGCTGCGCAGAGTATTGCTCCGATTCTATACTATCTGAGACCATATTCAATTCAAAATCCAAGTGGGGAAGAGGTGACGTACTACTTACGGTGGCTGGTACCTTGTTTCGGAGAAGGGCGGCCGCGCGGGAGCAGAAGGTGACGGAGGTTACTTTGATCCCTTGAAGCATTTGGTGTAAGGTATTTCTCCGAACACCGCCGAACCTGCTGCGAATTTCGTGGACGGAAGGAGGAGTGAAAATAGTCAGGCCCGTTATCATGGAGTCCTCATGTTTTACCGACTGGGTTCTCGCAGTATTTTCACAACCAGTTCTTCAACAGTATCGTGGTATACTCTGAAGGGCATATATTTGGCAATGACATCCTGCGATGGTATGCTTCTGAGGCGACCAAACCAGCAAGATATATATGCGTGTCGGAGTCAGGACTCGTTTCAGACCGGGACTTCGGGCACAGAGCACTCGATATGAATGAATGTCATGCAAAGGAATGAAGGAGTGAAGTTCTTACGTAGGGTTACGACCATGATACAGCATGTTTTGTAGGACTCGGTTTCACACCAGGACTGAGGGCGCAGGTTGCGCTCGACATGAATGACATGGATGGCCAAGAATGAAGGAGTGAATAGGGCTACTTGTACGCCAGTGAGACAGCATGTTTTGAAGGAACCGCAAGTCAGTTTTTCACCAGAACTTATGCCGCCGAAAGCCGTGCCTATTGTCGAAGTGTCATGGGCAAGAATATCTTCAAGGCCGTGGTTCCATGGAGCTCTATTTCAACGACCCATCTGTATCATTTTCCTGTAAATTAGAGCAACTTCCACTCCCAATTCATCGACCGTGTCGTGCTACTGAAAATGCGGAGGCTACTTAGGCGCAACGCTGATTTGGTGGGGGTCAACGGTGTTGTCAGACCCCTGAGAATGTAGTGTAGTTGACGTCTGCTGTTCCTATACTGTGTGAGGTTGCCAGCGAGGGCAGCAAAATGTGGCAAGAGAATGGGTGAGCGTTCACATACTGCTGGCAGGATTGCCGTTGAAGCGCTCCGTCGTATATCTCCTAACGGTTTCACAACCGCACGAGTCCCCCTTCTTGCCAGCACCGCCAAAGTCTCGTGGCGATGCCGTGCACTCTTTCTGGCAAAGCATGCCCTTTCTAAGCCCTTCCCACGCTTTGCTTTGTTTGCCTCTCCAGGCATACATTCGTCCTCCGACTACATAACACATGCCATCGATGCCGGGCAAATACATGCCCGACCTTGCAACCAAACCCGCCCCATCATACGCGAACGATGCAAGACACCCAAAGTTGCCACTTGTACTTCTGCAAATCAAGGCTATTTGCTCCACGCCCCCCTGAACGAAATTGCCGCGCTTCACAGTAGCTGGGTTTCCGAAGATAAAGATGGGCTTTACATGATATACCTGGCATGCCGCCAACCGTGCACCCGCAACAGCGGGTATTTCATAGCAGCGCTCGCAGAGGAGTTCTGCGGACCGGTCGCAGTTTGTTCTCTACTTTGGCTGGCACATTGGGTATATTGGGCATACGTTTGTGCATACTCTCATCAACTTCCATTCTGATATCACTGGCGAACAACGCCAAGCACGGAAGAGAGATTGACGCGGACTTAAAATACCATTCAAAGTGCTGTAGCCCTGTCTTTTTCGGGGCGCCTTCGGTGGCCGCGCCTTGAACGGAAAATAAGACGTCTTCGATAGGTACGTGCAGGATGTAGCGCCATCCTAGGCCATATGCTGCAGCACTGCGTGCGAAGTATATGCATATGTGGGTGCCACAACAACGTGTACGTGTGTAAAACAAACTGCGCAGGATACACTTTTCACGTGTACTGTACCATCCACCGACGTTCTTGTGTCAGGTGAGATGTGAACGGTGGCCACCTCCGGCGGCCGCACCTTGTACACAAGAGGACATGCCGCCTTTATTTCCTGCAGACAATCTGTGGAATGCCACGAGTCTATACTTCTCATTTCGTCAAACAGGCATCAACACATGCTTCCGTTCACTTTTATCGCGAGACGTGAAGTCGAGATGTTGTGTACACACGAGATCATCGCCTTCCACACCATAGTGCTGGCTTGGTGTAAAAAAAAACTCATTTGTTCATAATGCACCGAGATTCGAACCCACGGGTCAAAACGTGTCAGTAGACCGAAAATAGCATTAAATGAAACGCCACCAACGAACGCAAGAGACTTTATCTCATCTCGCCGAACCACGCTTGATGCCTCCTTTTCCAAAACTGCTGCGACCCTCATGACCGGGACCGTGTGTGTTTGTTTTGCGTACGCCACGATACCCTCAGTCTCAGCACGCCTAATCGTAATGCGTCGGGCCACTACAATGCATACCCTGGTACGTAAGATTCGAAGACTAGTCGTCGGATGCTCCCGATATTTTTCATCGTATTGAGTCAATTTCAAAATTCAGTAGAGACAGAACCAAAGAACAAACCCCACGCCGAGGACAACAAGTACAAGGGAAATCGCGTCTCTGTTTCAAAGCAACTACTGTCGAAATCTGGCAGAAGAGTAGTAGTCATCACCCTGCCCGGAAAAACAGACAACTCGCCATAGACGAAAAAAGCCGAACACCGCCAGCACTGCAAAAGCCAGCAACGCCTCCATTTGTTCAAGAACCAACATTTTTTGACTCGTACCACACCAGCGCACGCCCACCGTGTTCTTCTTCCCGTAATACAAGTCACCCGAGGGAACACGAGCGCGCCGCCATATCCCTCCTACTCGTGCAAAGCGAAGCGAACGCTGTAACCGTCGAGCTCCGGGCCTCTCGTGCCAACAGCCCGACCCGATTTCGCTGCCAGGCCGACGTCCACTCTGGCTTCGTTCAGGATGCACTAGATAATCGGCACCCCGCAACACCGTTCCGTGCCCCTCATTCATTCCGCGATCAAGCTCCAGACAAAACGGACGCCGCCCGTGCTTGAAACGCTAGCACGCGCACGTCCTCGCCGCGTCTTCTGTGGGAGGGGCAGCCGACAGCTGTTGAAAGGACGCGCATACACACCGAACGACGGCGGCCAGTGGGTTTATGATGGTTTAGAAAAGGCTCGCGGCAGCAGAGGCGGGAAACGTTTGACGCTTACCATCAACCTGAGTTGGACAACATCAGTCTCTCGTGAATGGCGACGGGATCGCTTGGGTGGGAAAAATTGTGAATGGAAACTTGTGGAGAAAAAGCGATCCCGTCTCCACCAATGGTGGGAGGGGACGCAACAGGTGCGGAGTCGTTGGATGGATTGACAACCACTTCTTCAACCTTGCCGCGATGGTGACGGTCTTGTTCAGTGGTACGGAAACTAAGACGGTAATCCAAGCAGGAACAGGGTCACAAGTTTCCAAATCCGTCCAACGATGCACAGAGAAAAAAAATCACCAGCATCTCGAACATCGAACATCTGAGCTTGTGGTTTTTCCGAATCATCAGCGGCAAGACGGGCTTCGATGCCACAAGATTCCAAGCCAGAACGCGGAAGACATGTACCCACTACGACCAACGAATCACCGTGTGCGACCCATTCTTGAAGAGTCGTCACCGGCACCCAGAGAGCAGAACAATCTCCCCGCCAACAAAAGGGCAAAAACCAACACAACCACTGAAGCAGAGCTCTGTGTCAAGAACGCTAAAAATTACGAGACGTGCAGGTCGTGAACGCCCCCGCGCCTTGAATGGAAGAGACTCGGGGGCCCCTCCGCGAGAACAATTGTTGTTCCGTAATCCACCCCAATTTGTGCGATACGTGCATCTACCCGTCGGAACGCCCTGAGACGGGCAGGATAACGGCAACTGCCAACGCAACAACATTGCACTACGATGTGTTCTCGGCCGAGAGAGAGGGGGGGGCGAGTCGAAAGACACGCCACGAACAAAAAAAAACACAAGACAAGGCAAGGAAACAAAGGTGCTTCAACAAGAGCGGCGGCCGGAACCACCCACCTTGATGTCGATCAAATTCGCGTTGTTAGACGTGGCAGGTGCCGTCTCCATCCCGGGCAGCGCGGTCGCCAGCTTCCGAAACAAGGCCTGCATTTCCGACAAAAAGGAAACCCATCCACGCGGAGGACAGAGAAGGGCGCATGGTGATGGGATGTTCGAAATATAATCCGTCATGAAAACCACAACTCGTGGAGGGGAAGAGTCGAGGGTTGGGGGAGGATCATCGTAGCGGAGTTCGCTAGAGACGGTGGGTATATTTTGCCCTAGCACCTTGTCCAGACCTGTGGGCTTGTGTGCGTTGTCCATTCGAACTTTGAACTTTTCCACCAACTACAAACAAAACACAATCGAGTAAATTCGCGCCCTGTGGTGTCATCAGCACACGCCCATGAAAGCCAGGATGCACACTCCAGGTGCTCGACTAGGGCACCAGGTTTTGCAGTACCAGGTATTGTTGTTGAAATCGCTGTCCCGTCAAGTGTTTTCCGGTCTTTCTCTTTACTCCCATCAACTCTTCTTTCTGTCCTGGTTCCACGACGGGTTCCATCCATCACCTTGATGTTGTAGCCCCCCTTTGCGCTTGTCTCGATGAACATAATGCCTTCCGCCTTAGCTCGGTCCTCCCCCTCCTCTACAGACACCTGAGGCACATCGACGACACCGACAGCAACAGCAGTTGACAACACCGACTCCAGTTAGACCCGAGTAGGGTTAGACAAGTTATCGTCGAAAAGGACAAGAAAAAGGGCAATTACGGTGCTACAACAAACGACGACGTCGACAACAACAGCAATTGGTGACACCGACTAGGGGCGATGATGACGGCGAAGAAGGACTTTGGGTGCACCGGGTGGTGCCAAACTCGTTCGGGCAAGCGACACAAAAACCACACACGTCCCTTCGGTTCTGCGGAAAGCGGCACCGCCGACTTTCGCACGTCCGGGAAGTGATGGGCTTAGGGCGTCCACGCGGATGGATATGGCGTACTCCGCCTGCCGATGCTTCCCGGAATCGGCTCAGATCAACCGCAACGCAGCGACGCAGCAGCAGCACCACAACCACCATCACCACCGCCCGGAACCATACCATAATTGACATGACGTAAGATAACACACCCCGTAGGTCGATTTTCAAACCTCGATTCCTCCACAGCACAGAGGGTGGCAGCGCCGAAAATGGCGGCGTTGGAACCGTCACACCATTGAGAGCTTTCCGTTAACGTCCCGTTTGCTTTGTACATCCTCTTCGTGTGGAGTACCTGGCCTTCGAAAGCCGGTCAAGGGGGTGTTTTATCTTACGTCCTGTCACCTACGTCGGTACCATCGGCTGCGACAACGTCCAAGGCACCTGCGCCCTCGCTCCCCGGAATCGGACTAGACCAACCGGAAGGCTGCGACCGAGCAGCAGCAGCAGCAGCAACATCAACACCACCACAGCGCCAACGACAACGACAGCAACAAACGCCCCACGCACCGCTCCCCGGAATCGGCCCAGACCAAATCACAACGGTGGGACAGCAGAAGCAGCAGCAGCAGCAGCAGCAGCAGCAACACGATCACAACGGCAACGACAACGACAGCAACAATCGTCCCCACGAACGCACCTGCCGCCGCTCCTTAAGGTCCGTCTTATTGCCGACCAGCATCATCACCACGTCGTTCCCTCGCTCGTTGCGGACGTCCTCGATCCACTTGCTTGTGTTCAGGAAGCTGTGCAAACCGCGACGGCGACAAAGAGGCAACAAAAGCCGGCGAGCTTTGTAGACGCTTCAACCCCAGGTCCTGGCGCACCCCAAGGCAACAAACAGCCCCAACAAGGCACTCCGCAAGAAAACGGCGCTTTCGGAATGAACAGAGACCCTGCTTTCTGCTCCCAGGAACAACTCTACTGAACCAATCAAACCTATCACGTGACACACACAGGAAAACGACGACGATCCGTTCCTTGAGCGGGGCTGGTTGTGAGAGTTATCCAACACGAAGGCCACAACCAACATGCTTATCCGTCTGGCTGGCGCCGTTGACGCTCTCGACCCACATGCTCGTGCTCCCGCACGGAGACGCAAGGCGAGCAGGAAATCGCTGCTGTTGCTATGTACTTGAGTGGGACCGGTCACAAAATACTATTGTAGCCAATTGCTCAGAGAAGAGGGTCCGCCCCACCGTGTACATGTAGAATCGTGGGGCTGGAGAGGATCACCCGCCTGAGGAAAGCCTCTGAAGTACAGAAGCATCGCAACCCTCCCGTCAGACAACAGCGGCGACCAAAGACGCCGAACCCTAAAACACCGACGGTTCTAGTGCGAACACCTTCGAGCGCCGATGGTGGGGGGTCTCTAGGAGAGCCCTTTCCTCGCCCTATTTGTAACGTCGTATCACCAGCGGCTACGGAAGAGGCTAAACCCTTACACATCAACGGTTCTAGTGCTAGAATCTTTGAGCTCCAATGGTGGGAGTGGTGTCTAGGAGGGTGCTCACCTCGCCCTATTCATGACGTCGCAAAAACAACGGCGACGGCGGAAAGCCTATCCTCGTGACCCCACCACTTTTCCCAGTAGCCTTCGCGACGACATTAAGCTCGGTTAAAGTAAATAGGAGTTACGGCTTGGGTTGAGTAAGGGTAAGGGACACGAAACCCCCCTCTCTATTTCACATATAACGCTAAACATCTTCGCAAAGGCGGTCCAGCTCAACGGTAATAGCGTTCGAGCGACGATGGTGGAAGGCCACGAGAGAGCTCTCACCTAGCCCGATTCGTGATGTCGTAGACGATCACCGCCACCGACGAGTCTCTGATATAGCTGGGGATGAGGGAGCGGAAACGCTCCTGTCCCGCGGTATCCCAAAGCTGAAGCCGCACCGTCCGGTCTTCCAAGTACCTACAACATCCACAGCAGATTCGAACGGTACCAGGCCACATTGAGAGTTAAACTCAACACGAGGGATACGTGAGGAATTGAGCAAGGAAACCACGCTGGCACACTCGCACGAAACAGCAGGGCGTGAACCTCCGCGCAAGCACCCCACGACGGGCACATAGATTCGGGAACACTCTGCGACTACGGTACCGCGCAACGACCAAGCACGTCAAGGGTGCCGTCGCATCAAGCAGGCTTTGATGCTGACAGAGACAATTTCCCGGTCTTTGGTGTGCAGGCAATGCGTGCTGACGGGGAGTGGTTCTCAGAAGAACCCAATCTCACACGCTCTACTTGTACGCAATAGAGGACCAAGGGTGCAAAGGAAGCCGTGTAGACTTAATTGTTGAGGGCGGGAAACTTGCCACCGCAGCAGCGCCGGCGCTGCCTGCGAGTGGAATGAATGCAAGTCAAAGCGGCTGGCTCACATAGTCTTGGAGAGGAAGTCGATCCCGATGGTCGCTTGGTAGTTCTTGTCGAAGTTGTCGTACATGAACCGGGTGATGATGCTCGTCTTCCCCACGCTCTGGTCTCCGAGAAAAACCAGCTTATACTTCGCCAGGGGCGCGATCTGAGGGACCGCGGGGGCCCCGCCATTTTCTCTGCGCAAAAAGGCACGTACGGACAGAAACAGGGAGCAACGACGATGATATTCTTCGGGTCAAAACGTGGCACGCCAATCGTCCGTGTTGTAGTCGTTCAGCGTTCTTGCATGGTCTGCTGGCGACAGCATGAGCTTTGACGCACGCTGAAAGCTTCGGGAAGACGGGGGATGCGCCCCCCCACCCATGCCTCCCCCCATGCCTCCCTCCATAGGGGTACACACGCTATACTATGCCACATTAAATCTTACTTCAGTACGATTAGACCCTCCACCTAACGCCGGTTAACCCTCCGCCCAAAAGTGGATTAAGAGTACGAAGAACACGGGCGAGGGGAGGAGGGGGGGGGGGGGGGTGCTTCCAAATTTGAATCCTTTGGCCCCTTGGTTGGCCAAGTTTCAAGGCAAGGCTCAATCAGACATCCATCGAACGCCCAGCCGGAAAAAGTTGTTTGTTTTGTTTCATAAAATATATTAAAAATTGATATGATATCTATGGTGGATCGAGGAGGGGGCACGAAGATGACTGTTCTTTGACGCCTTCGACGGACGCCTTCTGCAGTCCGGCCCGCGGCGCGTTGAAAACTTCTGTTCGCACGTTGTAGCCAGCCAAACCTATAGGTACCACCGCCAAAACAATCTCGCACCCCTTATTGAGCTAGCTAGGCGAAACAACGCGGGCTCTTCATGACCATTCCTCTTCTGCGGTGTGTGGAACTGAGGGGAAACACACCGCAGAAGAGGAATGGCATGAAGAGCCCGCGTCGTTTTTCCTGGCTACTTTGTTTCTCATGTTGCGCCGTCTTATGAATTGGTGAAGCTTTTTGGGAAAAGACGGCTTAGGGCCACCTTTCAGCATGTTTGCCTAACTCTCCAGCCAACAGGCGTGAACGCACGACCTGGCCGGCGATCCAAAAAGGCTTGCGCGCTCAACGCGTGGTTCAAGCAGCATGCGCTCCCCCGAAGAGCAGACATACCACGCACTCCAAACCCGGGTGTTTTAAGCAAATGCAGCTGCCTGCAAGTCACTGCTGTGCACGCACCCAGCACAGATTTCGAAACAATGGCCAAAAACTGCCGTAACAGCAGAACATGGAAAATATCAACATCTATTGCGTCGGCGTGTGTCAGCGGCTGGTGTAGAGCAGGTCTGGTGGCAGGCATCCCCGAACGTGCTGACCGCTTTTCCCGCGTCGGCAAAAAAAAAAAGTTCTGGAAAGCCTCATTCTCACACAAGAACCTTTTCAAGCGCCCTTCTTCCCATCCCCAAGACCACACACCCTCGTCCCCCGTACAGTCTTCAGCGGCAACGACCACTTCGGGCCATTGCTACTCGGAGGTGTCGTCACGCTGGTGTAGTGTGTAGTGGCGACGGAGACCAAGGAGGTCGGAAACACAATACTTGAAAATAAAAAAACACGTCCAGCAAAACAACACTGCTACACACCAGCGGCGTGCCGATATGCCGATCATCTCAAACGTAAGCTTTGGTATGAGGCAGGGGCACCGCATGGGTACAGACGGCTTCGTGTTCGGTCGACCCTGCGGAAACAGCAATTATATGCTACACAAAGCAGCAGTACCGATGCATGCCATGCACATGTAGACTACTTGCATGACTACAACTGGTGTGTTGTTATTGTGGCCCCCAACAAGTGACAGTTGTCTCGTAGGCGGAACAAACAACGTCACGAGAACAGCAATGCTCGGCAAAGCAGTGTTTCCGATCAGTCGGGGTCGTGAGTGCGACGTTCGAGGGAATCATGTGCGAAGCCCATCAAGTGCTGCTTCTATCCGCACTTACGGGTGATATGCGATGCCGCTGTTCGCCTCCTTATTATTTCGAAAAGGAATATATATTTCCCGGCGATGGTTATGCATATCCACGGAGGGGTGCGTTGCACAGCTGCCGCCATACAGTTACCATCCGTAGCGCTCAGCGCGTGCAGCAGCGACAGCTTCAAAAGCAACGGGGCAGAGGGGGGATATGGAGAGCGGCATAGACACGGGACAAAGTCGGCCATTTCCGGCAGTGTGACTGCCCACAACCCCGGATGAGTTTTTACGGAACACAGCGTGCGGGGGTACACAACCTGGCGGCGAATTTCCCAAACACGTGACACAAGCGCAAAATCGGAAACACTGCTCTCACCCCGCTTGTGCCATCCCCCCCTCTCGCCACGCCTATCCACGCAGCAGCGCCCTCTGTCCCTCAAGCCTCGGCTCGCTGCGAAGCAGGCCTGTGCCGCACACACACAACGCACGACCGCTGTGGGCGTGTGTGCTGGGCTGTGCGAGATCTAAAATTCTGGTACAGGTTAGAGAGATTCAGCGGTGAGTCGGGGCCTCTCTTGCCTTTCTCACAATGCTACGGGGCAACGGCAACAGAGAGTTAATGTCCGTGAAGAGATTGCACAGCGTGGTCTCTCCCGCTCTCTGAATTCCAGCGGCTGTGCTCGTTCCTTCCGTGGTTCTTCTCTACCCTCTCTCCTATCTGGTCGCGTGCCCTACAGAGCAGATCGGAGGACAAGAGAGATGGGGCGGTACGGGGCAACGCAGATTCATCAAAAAGCCATGCAATGTTTGTAAACGCCATGCTTGATGGTTTCATCTTTCATGACGTCGACGAGACTGCTGTAGAGAGCAAACGGCGAAGCGTATACGGTTGGCAGTCGATGCAACACGGGTGTTCACGTGCGTGAGAAGGTCATCCATTCTAGAATGTACCTACCGTTGGAATTGTGCCTAGAGCATCCAACAACTTTTCATCGCCGCGGAAGTTTGAGAGGTCCGCGCGTTCGCACCTACTTGAAGATATGAAGTGGTAGGCCAAAACCGATGGTAGCAAGCAAATTTCAAATTACATATCACGAGCATCGTACTGGACTTGATGCAACTCAAACAACCAGCTCACATGTTCAGATGGATCGAGATGCCAAAGCACAAGTGTAACGTCCCTACTTCTACCTCCATATACTATTTGCAACCCTCATCCCAAAATAACCTACTAGCTAGTCAGAACTGCTCAAGCACACATCTGCAGAAGACTGCACCCAAAGGTGCCGCTGTTTCATTACGTACAGGGGGCCCATCAATTGTTGATTCGTGGCATGTCCCCGTTCCTTCTGACAAGCAAACAGAGAGGCGCCTATCTCGCAACGCCCGAAACACGCTCCACCGGCATGGCGACCACCGCGACCGACATTTCCGCAACAACAGATGACACGTGTGCAATGAACGGATCGCGAGAACTATCCGCCATCCAAAACAATCCTCACGATGAGTCAGATCCCGATGACGGGCATCAAGCCACCGGTGACCACAACAATGGTGCTACCCGAGATCGTGGGGCGGTGGTGGACTCACCACGGTCATCATCCGCAGTCGAACATACTGCTGCTGCCGCTACTGCTTCTGGTTTTGCTGTCAGTCCGAGCGCCGCTGTCACTCCCGCTGCCATCACGACTCCTCCCACCACCGTACCTACGAATGGTGGCCACGTTCCCGAGACAACACCAGCCGATGTTGACGCAGACAACGAAAATGATGCAGCAGCACTTCAAGAATCAGGCGAACGTGACAGGTACCAGAGCTCCACCGAGCGCAACATATGGTCTGTGTTTAACCCGATGTGGAATCAGTTTACCGTACGCAAGGCTCGCTTGCCGAAGACGTCGGACATCGAGGCTGACTGGGCAGGGACTGTAGGGAGGCCGGAGGAGCTCAAGCTGTTTCTGGGTCTCAAGAATACGACCAATCGCAAGTAAGTTGTGTTGTCAGAAAGCATAGTGACAGGGGAATCGCGCATTGGCGAAACCATGAGTCTGGACCTCGGATAGCGAATGCTGCCACCGATTGTTCTCAATCCGCCCTTTCGTGTCAACACGGGTACATACCGTATCTCTTTTCCCCCTGCTGCCTCATGGTAGGACGGTGGGTTTCCTGCAGCGATGCATAGATGAGAAGCTCGTGATGGAGGGCATCCTTCTCCGCGGACCGGCAGGATCTGGCAAGAGCGCCCTTGTCAAGGTGCGCGACAGCCCTTAATGAAACGACTATGCCAAGGAGGATCGCGTCCCCTTCCGAAAATGATGTGTTTCCAACCTGCCACAACAAGCAACCCTTCTCCAAATTGCAAAGGTCGCTCCTGGCAACTGAGATTACGATGAGATGTATCCTTTCCAGTGCACACGACTCGAAGGATGCAAGGCCGACACCATATGTATTACAAACAGAGAATGCGCCTATATATTTGGCAAGGATAGCCTCAACCTGGCCAAAGCGTCACCTGCAATCCCCTTTCACTTGTATTTGCCACCGGCCCTTCGCTCATCCCACACAATGAAAAAATCATGTTGGTCTTTGCAGGTGTTTGTGTCCGAGTTTCTGGAACGATTCACTTCCACCCCGCAAGCTTTCGCTCGCCTGTATCGCACGCGGGTCCTCAACGTCAACCGACAGGTACTTGACAAAGATCGATTCTGATTCCTTTCGCACAAGTTGGCGTGGTAGGCCACGTCGCATTCCTTTTTCTCCATAAGGGAATGCGACGAGAGCGTTCGAGCAGAGTCTTTTCTATAGTCCACCTATGACCCTTTTATGTCGTACTGTACCCGACTTAGTTTCCAAGAAGCTATTCGCTTCGATGCACCAAACGGTTTTTGTCCGCCGCACATGCTCTTGTCTGCAACAATGGTGTGATGCATCACCCGACTGAGAAGTTCCTGCAGATCGGTGTCGTATGCGTCCCGCGTGGTGCTTTCTGCCCAGGAGCTAGCGGGTTCCCCTAAGAAGCTGGCGAGTCGTCTCCGACGGTTCTTCTCTGCTAAGAAGGACCGCCTCTCGGAAATTGTCCCTCGTTTCATCGTGGTCGACGGGATGGAAAGGTGAGGAGGGTGGAACGAACAGGTATTTGGGTTCGATCGTTGCCCGAGGCGCGGGCGAGGTCCAGGCGTTCGATATGTCACATGCTCCTTCGATATATGACGCCCGTTGTCTAAAGGTCGAGGTCTTACTGAGTGGTTCGCAACTCTGGTTGCGACGTCTTGTAGGAGCCACGTCGATGAGGTCGAAGGGCGAGAATGGCACGATTGCGGAAGGGAGTTGTCCTTTTCCAATGATACAGACGCAGGTCAAGTGTTTGGCAGGGTGTTGTGCCTTTCAAATGAGACAGAAAAAAGTCAAGTGTTCATTCAACACATGCCCTCCGGCTGTAAAATGGAAGGTGCACGACAAAGTCTTTATATTCTGAGTGCGACGTCCCACTCGTGTGGTGTGGGCACACTAGATCATACCTAGAAGACAGCGTTGCAGTCCGGATCAATCTCCACCTCGAGAAGATCTGCCCAACTCCCTACCAACACGTACTCTGCCACTACAAACTCTCCCGCATCAACCTCGCAGCGTGCCCTCCAAATCGCAGTCGGCCCTGATGACCGCGATAGAAGCAGCTACTTTGGGGAATGTTTCGAGCCAGATGGGAGGGAATATCACTAGTAGTGGTGGTGGTGACACTGGCAGTGGGGGTGGCGGCGGGGGAGGAGGAGGAGGAGGAGGAGGAGGAGGAGGAGGAGGGTCGAGTGCAGGCTTACGGATGATTCTGACGACGAGAGACGCATCCAAGCTGACCGCGTCGTTTCGGAAGTGCGTGAAGCCCTTCAAGGTGTGGACCTAGGTTCAATGGATGACGAGCCATCGGCAAGCACTGCCGTACGTGAAAAATTCGAAGACTTGGAGAACGTTCTCCTTGCAGGCAGGGAGAACAGACCTGAATCTCGATAGTGATTGGACGTTGGGGCTAGGAGATCCCCTCGCCCATAGCATTGTTGCTGAGTTTTCGTATCTCGCGAAAGTGGTTTTTTCGAGACAAAGTGACGATGTTTCTCACTGCGGGGGCGCTGGTCTATGGGGCACGACGTCACTATCGTCCAAAGCACATTTTTGGACTACTTCAAGTGTGCCCCATGTGCCCACGCCACCCCTTTCGGCCCCAGGTTGAGATGGTGGAAGAGATCGACGGGGTAAAAATACTTTTGAGGTGAGAACTCGATGTATAAAAATCATCCCCAAGATTCGAATCGGAGCAGATGGGCGGAATCACCCGGGCGCTTTGTTCGGGATTCAGGTTTGGGCAAGAAGAATGGGTCCCCGATGTCAAGACGCCTGGTAATTTGTTCAACAATATGTACTTGATTCAATCGCTGCCTTGGCTGGGAACCAGAACGTGCTCGGTAGCGTCTCGAAATGCGAACAAAATGACCGACAAGGTTCCACATGTCGGCCCCAATCGCAGGCTGGCGGGCTTGGAGGGCTGGCAGACGTCAGTCCTCGTATCGTTGCCACACGCTGAAAGACAATTCCTTGGGAGAAGGCGATAGGGTTCGATTGAAAACACTGTACAGTAGCACAGCAAATCCCTATCAAAGGGGAGCACCAATATCCAAGTGGTGCCATGCACAGAGACTGCCACGTGTGCCGAGAGACACAAACTCGGAGGTTCGGCATCGCAACGTGCTTGCGACACCCCGCTTGCCCAGCACGATGATCTCCTCGTTGTCGTATCATACCGCATCACTTTGCGCCTCACGACAACGTTGTTTTTCCACCGGCAGAATTCTGGAGCGAGAGAACGTAGGTTTCGAGCTGTTAGCGGTGAAGGTCATCTTCCGGGCGTACTGGCCGGACCTCCAGCAGTGCATCGCGGCGGCCAACAAGGTACCGCAAGAGGCAGAGAGATGGCACCCCCCCTAGACCACAGTGCAAAGCTCGATTGCTCCGCAGCCAAGCTTGTGCCAACACAGAAAACGCTGGTGTTGGAAACATCGCGTCGAGGGCTTTCCGTAAGGCGTATCGGCTTCTTTCCGCACCCCCGTGGTTGTAGAGCCTTTCAAGCTTTGAAACGGGGGGCGGTGCCATCTCTCGGCCTCTTACCGTAAGCTGTGGCTCGGTAACGCCCACTGCTAGACCGCGATCCTGCGCAATCCAGGCGGATTCCAACAAGCTTGGCGCAACACTAGGCACGCGACAGTTGTCACTTGAAATTGGCAGTCACCAGAAACGCAGAGGACACCCACATGTGGTACGAGCACGAGCCACTACAAACAAAGCCACGGTTACCGGAAGCACGTACCATCAAAGAAACTATGCGTGGTCTGCGAAACGGTGCTGAACATGTTTCCGTGCACCACAGGTGTTCTGCGAGAGGGAGTTCTTGAGCGAGGAAAACGCTCTCAAGGCCATCGCCCCTAAGACGCTGGCGGCGCGAGAGGAGATGTCTCACCACGTGAAAGCGTCCGACTCCCTCGAGCCGCTCGGCGTGTGCCAGGCGTGCACCCTCCGCCCGCCTTGCCAACATATTTCTGAACAGGTGTGGGGTTGTGGTTGCTATCGTAGTAGTTCTTGTGGAGTTTCGGTGGCAGTTGTTGTTGACGCTCTCGTTGCTGCTGCTGTCGCAGCGAAGTAGTTGTGCTGCCTCTTCTTCTTGTGCTGATGGTGTCCTGGTTTATGTCGCGAGCTGTCCACTGTTGCCGGTGTGGTTGTTGTTTGCACATCCCACCTTGCCCTCTATCACGTCCGAAATCCAGCCATGCACGTTTTCAACGCATGGTAAACTTTCAAGACGGTGCACTCCGTTGCCTTGAAACAGGTCACGTACATATATATCCCGAGCACTCTCCTCCTACATATCATGCTTTTTCGATACGTGCTAACCCTGATGAAAAACCGTCCAGTTTTTCATTTGAATAATCGTAGTGCCTCTCTCTCGATCACATGTCTCAGCCGGTGAATTCCCAAGGTAGATTGATTCTGAAGACGAGTCGGGGCCAACAAAAGCACCAGTTTGAAGATATTTCGGAGAGATTTCCGATTCTATTCCCGCCGTGCTCTTCCTCACCCCCCCGTAGTCGGAAGTCAAAAACGTCCCTCTCCCTGCAACGTTGGCGATGCGACGAACCGTGATCTCTTTCCACCGCATGGTGGGGCAAGAGACGTTGTTCGCGTCGACGAGGCAAACAACATATCTTCTAGAGCCTTGTTTCTTGACCTTTTTGTTGGGCCACATACCGTGACGGAGGTGGTTCTAGTGAATTGAGCTCTTCCCATTGACTACACCACACCACAATATCTTGTCTTGCTTCAGCGGGCGCAACATATCGCTCTCCCTTTCTGCACGTCCACGCGTAGTAACATCGATACCAAAGCCCCAACTTGAGCGCTGTACCGCCACCGCTGTTGTCCAGGAGCTGGCGAGCCGGGGCATGCGGAGAAGGATGGAGCTTCCCCAACGACGGGGGCCACAGGAGTCGACACAGGAAGGGAAGGGGGGGAAGGGCGATGGGGAGAAGGATTTCGTGGACTGCCAGGATTTCGTAATGCGAGGGGCGTGTCGTTCCTTCAACGAGCGGGGGCGCTGCAGCAACCATCACCCTCTGGATGCGCACGTCGTAGAGGTTCCGAAGCCGAGGTGCCCCCAGGTGAGGGATTTTCGGTCTCGGCGGTTGCCGTGCGTTTTGTGTGGACTACACTAATCACTCCCTATCTCCGTTCTTGGATACGGCAGTGGCTACCCTCGTCTGTTGCAGGTTGCACGTTAGCGTCTGCCGTGTATACTACAGTAGTTGGCAACAACTTTCGCACACTTGCTTGTAGCACGCTACCGCCTTGGGAGATTTTTTCACTGTGGCCTGCCGACGCTTGGACCCGTTCGGTCAGGCTATACTTGTCGATTGTCCCACCCTCCGCTGTGGGTGTGGGCCAGAGGGAGCTACAGTTGTATGGTTTCGGTGCGAGCCCTTTCGCGGCACGCTCCATTCGGACTCGACAATTGTTGAGGGAGCTTTGCCATAGACAGGCACAGTCGTGATCCCCAAAGAGATGAAAAATCACCGTCTTGCGCTATACCCCCCCCAGTTCTCCCGGCTCCCAAGCGACAAGAAAATACGCTGCAAAGCACAAAATCTCGACCACGGCAGTTTATTTCGGCTGCTGTAACCTTCTTTTAGCCATCTTTAAAATCAAGCTGCAATATACCGAACACACGTCGACGGTCGTCCGCACCGCCCCCCCCCGTGCGCCACGCATCTTGCGGCACAACTTCTACGAACGCTCCCCGCTGTGTGCGGCCAACTGCAGTGCACGATACGTCTCCCGTGCGGCCACTGCGATTACGACCAGTCGAGAAGGAGCCTGCACACTTTCTGCGAAGCCGCAGGGGCTAGGATACAGGTACTGTACCTGTTTAGGATGTGGTCGTGGTGTGGCGCAGGATGATTGCAAAGTTGCATAAAGATAGCGTGCATTGACCACCGTGTAGACACTAGTTTCCACGAGGTTTCGTGGTCCATCCAAATATGGTTTCGACGTTAGATATTTCTACCGCCCGCCCTCCAAACCAGACAGTGACCCCTACTCTCGGCTGTCCTTAGTGTTGCCCCGCCACGAGACCGCCTCTCTGTCATAGCGTCCCGATACTCTTCTGACAAGCACCATCTTGCACGCACCCGGCTTTGTACGTCCTTGGTCGCAACACAAATTCGCCACAGAAGCGCATAGGTCGACTACACCGGCTACTGAAGACTGGCGGCGGTGGTGGGGATAACAAACAGCAGCCAGGATCGATGACGAAGTCAACAGTCAAAGCGAGCGGCGACGCCGGAGGGCACGAGGGGGCGCAGGGCCGCACCAACAGAACCACCGACAACACCCGTGATTCGCCCACCGTCGCTGCAAACAAGAACCCCAGCGCGACCAAGAGCGCCAAGCAGCAGCAAAGGTCTACTTTCGAAAGCCGTGCCAGCAAGGCCAACAGACGGGGCGTGGAGGCCGTGTTGTCGAAGCTTGGCGAGATCGGCAGGGATCTCGAGGCACAGCGAGCTTGGACCACAGACACCAGGACACCCGGTGGAGGCATGCACGAGTTTCGGGCGTCGGTTTTCGACAAAAAGCTGGAAAGGTTGTTCCGGCGGTGCGAAGAGGCCAACGAGGAGGCGGACGCGGAGTCTGAGGCGTACTTGCTGCTGTTGGAAAACGTGCGGTAGCTCTACACACCACGGCTGGGAGAGTGTTGCTGTCCTATGACACTCACCCCTCGTATTGTCGTGCTTGCAAGGTATCCGAACAGGCCTGTTGTCCTCTTCGGAGAAATTCGTTCTTCCTGTAGTGGTTGATGTATTCGATAAAGGAACGCTAAACCATTAGACCACTCACCTGACTGAATGGGGTAGTGGTTGAGCCTTCTGGCTGAGTGGTCTATTCGTTTAGCAGTATCGAATATGATATGCCATCATCCAGTCGGCTGGCGAGACCGACGTCGTCAAGAAATCATTCCCTCGTTAAACGTTATATTCGTCAATGTGGTCTGTGATAGGAACCCACCCCGGAGGATTCTACGATTGATTGCCGAGTTAAGGCGTCTTTCTCCAAGGATGCCATTGCGTTTTCAGAAATACCTCAAATGGTTTGTGTGCACCTCTAAGGGTTTGTGTGCTTGACGCGATGGTATCTTGGAAAGTCTCCTTTAGTGTTGTGCCACGTGCTGTTACGATTTTTTCTCTTGAGATCATGTTGGTTGTTTCCCGCGTCACACGCGTAGAGACCCCTCCCCCACCCATTTGTCCTTCTACAGTATCGGCACAAGGTACCTTGCCTGTGAACTTTCGTGCACACATGGCGCCCACCAGGGACCCTGGTTGACATTAACAGCGTCTACAGTACAGCAGTATGTCAAAATATATATATTCGGTGTTGTTCCACGGACCGGCACATAATACTACAACAGTACGGTATGTAGGTTATACACATGGAAAAAAGAGTGCGTCGGATCACGTGATTCCACATATATATATATGTTTTGCGGAGTTATTCTAAACCAAGCCCAAATTCTCAAGAGGGACTATTCCCACACTCGTGATATGGGCAGGTCGTCCGGGTGATCCAATTGGCAACCTCGGCTACTGTATGCCAGATAATAGGTTGGGAGTTCCGGAAGGCCTGTTTTCTCTAGGTTTCATATATATCCCGTATGGCATAGATAGTTTGCATGCCGTAGTAGTAGTAGTAGTTGAGAACTCGATCGTGTTCGTGAGTAGGATGGCTGAACTATAGGTATCCGCAGAAGGAAATCTTCCGTGTGACTCCGAGTCAGAGCTCTTCGGTATTATAGGAGCAAGAACTAGGTATATGCTTACTACCATAAATATGCCCACTACCATACGTATATTATAGTTAGTTATAGTAGAACATATACTATACCTGGGACAAGTGAGTGCCTTGGAATGGATGGCCGAAAGTCGGCAGTTTCGTTGTAGGAAAAACGGTTATAAGAAACTTGATGATGAAGGCACACACCTGGAACATCAAAAACATTAATTGTTCAGGAGGTATTAAAAAAGAATCGAGCCACAGCAAGTTATAGTTGGTCGTTGGTGAATCCTTGAATCACACGGAAGATAGATCTAGAAAATGATTTGACTTTATTTACCCGTCGCCCGAGAGGTCTGACTTTTTTTGTATTCGTGACAACATATACAACCAAAGGAGCGTTGCAGTGAATGATGCACAATATATAGCTCCTCTCTTCCAACGAGATGAAGTTTCGAGGATACGCCCGAGAATGAAAGAAAGAGGTACAGTAGAAACGAGAGAAAGAGACGAGCTCGACGTAGACCGAAATATGGGACGGGGGGTCACGTGGAATGTATGCACCGGGTAGGTATGCGGGGATGGAATTGTGTACTTTTTGGGTGGCCCCTTCCCCGTCACGCCGAGCACGTCCACCACGCACACTGCAAGCGTGAGCTGCAACACCAAGTACCCGGAGCAGCGAGAGTTATTCGAGGTATCGCAAAGGAGGAACGGCGAAACAAAGCCGGAGATTTACCGTGGTGACTGCTATTTGCTGTTGGCACTCGACATTTACAGCGGCTTGTTTTGAAAAATAAGGCGGCGCGTGCAGGGTCCGCTCTTCTTCAACTTTCTCTCTCCCCTCATCAACACTCAGACGCGGCGTTACCGTTTACCCGCCCCCCCCCCCCCCTACGCGTACGTCGCCGTCCACACAGCTTCTTGAACAGAGACTGAACTTGCTTGGTGCAACCTGCACTACTACCGAAAGGGCTGCGTGCGTGTTCGGCACCAAAAAACTCCGCGCCAAAGGAGAATGAATCATCAGAATTCGCGCTGGGCAAACGATGATGGTGGTTTCCATCACCATCATCATCATCAGCAAGCAGCAGGAACGGGCCCCAAACCACCTCCCGGAGAGCAGCAGCGTCGAGGCTGGCTAGTGGCCGAGCAGCCTGCTGGCGTGGGGGGCTGGGGTGGAAGCAGCGGATGCGGCAATCAAGCTTTAGACGACGCGATGGACCGTTTCGGCGGGATGACTCTAGGGTCCAATGTCGCCGGCAGCGGTGATGGCGGCGGGGCGGATGACCTGGACATGAGTTCCCTGCGGCTGGCAGAGGGAGGAAGAGGTGGGGGGTCAGGCTTCGGTCTCTCTGTTGTTGCGCAGGTGAGACACAAGCAGAAAAGAGTCCAGAAACATGTTGCAAGCCAAACATCAACCCCATTTCCAGCACCGCTCGGAGATGTCGCCCGGAGTACGTTCCAATGATGTATTACTGCTGAAACACTAACACTCATCTCCATCTGTATCGGCATCTCGGAACCCCGAGTCTTTCTTTTTTAGAAAATTCCTTCTTCGTACTAAGAAAAGCACACACCGAAAGACTACCCGAGTTCGAGATTCTTGTTCTCCGCTCGACTCATGATGCCTAATCCTCTCAGTTCGGGAAATTGTCGGTGATGAGTCTGAACCTTAGTAGGAACGAGCTCGATGACGTCACCTCGAAAACCACGAAGTCCCCGCTCACTTTCATTGCACCTCATGCAATCTGTATGTATAGCGTACGGCGTAGGGTGTTGGTTAACGTACTGTACATACCGTATCTCGGTCGGTTGTTCTTTTGAAGGATGAAAGGAGCATCAACATGCGGGGAAGCCCGATGACTAGAAAGCGTGATTGCCTTTTTTCCCCGTTCCAACACTGGCGCATTTTCATTGGCCAGCCGGCTAGCGCGGTCGATGATAACTAAAGAAACGCACATTCGCACACCTAAGAGAAAAGTGGGGGGGGGGCACAGGAGGAAGCAGGTAACAACAGCACCATTTTGAGCCACTTTGAAAACCGCCTATTTTTGGCAACCCTGCGGATCTTGTCTCCTCCGTTCTTTAGCGTCAGCTTTACTGCCTAATTTTTAGGATGGGGTCGGGTTCAGGCTCTTAGTATATGCGCATGTGTCTGCGACTTTGATGAACCGTCGTGGTCTCGACTTCCATCCTCCTAAGTGCGGGCGCTTACTGCTGTAGCCATCACACGTAGCTATTATTATAAAGCAGAGGTTCTTTCTTGTGGTTCTGGGATCCTGTGCAGGAACCTGTTGCCCAGTCTACCCCTCCCCCCCCCCCCCCCCCCCCCCCC